TGCCCCACTCTTACCACTTCTTAGCCTATTTCCCAGCCCTTTAGCCCCCACAGAACTGCTCTGGCAGTGAACAGCCTCTGCAGTTTTCACTGCTTCTAAACAAAAGGGATATAAAGTTTTTTTTTTTCCAGCAGCTTGAATGGAAAATGGCTATTGCCCTCAACAGCCTAATTTTCCTGAACCCACCTGAAGGCTGAAGCCAGCTATTCAGACGTAGGTGAAAAGGAACAGAGCCACCCCTGCTATTTCTTACAGACCATTTTAGTGAATTAGGTTCCTGAGGAGTGTGAAAGCACCTGCTTTGTTCTGATTATTTCTGGCCTGCTCTAAAAGCAATTTACTATAGAATAACCCATGTTAGAAGCTCTGGCTCCACAATTTTACACAAAGCAAGTATAGCTTGAGCATCCTTCCTACGTTGTCCTGACAAAGAAGAATCCTATCCCATGCTGAGAGAATGGTTTGCACCCGCTTCTACAGCACCCGGTCTGTCTGCTAAAACAGCCAATGAGGTTGTCACAGGTAACAGTGTTTTATTTTGGATACAGAATGGTATTTTATTCTAGGTCTAAATGCCTGGCAAGCCTATTAATTTTGCCTGTTCCAGCAAGAAGTTGCAGAGATGCAGCTGTAACAATTTATATCCAAATAGTCATTAATTAAAAAAAAAACTTGAAAAATCATTTTTGTGCTTAGCACTACAATTATGCTTAGTTCTTTCAAATCTGTTAGATTGGAATATTGATAGACTCAGAAAATGCAATTTGGAGTTACACAGGCAGCTTCAAGGTAAGGTAAGCATTGGACAGTTTGTCACTTTTTATCATTATTTTACTAAAATCAAGGGGGCTGCGCCAATTAAGGATGAGTCAAGGATTTGGCTCATTGCTGTGTTAGAATTCCAAGCCATAAACCTAGTAAGAAAGTACTGGTGATGTTCGATCTAACCAAATGTGAAGGCTGAAGTCACCTGAAATAATCCAACAGACTCCCTTAGCCCTCTGTAGTTCAAATCAGCCATCTCAGCCAGAATCCCTACGGTGCTGGAAGGCTAATCTATTCATAAGCAGTACAAACCACTTACCAGGAAGAGAGAAGGAGATATGATATTACACCCACTACAAGAGTTCATTTTGATGGTGAAACATACTTGGAGAGTCAAGAGCGGACAACAAGCAAAAGTAAATGCATAACCTGAACAACCTAAGGGACTATGTATTTTAAATTCTGAGGATAAGGTGCATACTGTTGGGCGGATCACTTCATTCTTTGAATTAAACTCTGAGACATTTAACAGGCAGATGCATTCATCACATTCCCAAGGGAGACATTGAACATTTATTTCTTATGCCCTCTTCATTGGAAACTGTTCAAACAATTGAAGCAGGACTCCACTGCAGAGCCAGCTAAAACAAAGTATCATAAAAAGCAATTTTTCTGGACATCCATTCAGGGACCCAGGAGTTCTCCTACTGGCAAAAATAGTGGTGTGTGGCATTTGGACTCTGCCAAGCTTGTGCCCTGTGAAAGACAACAGGCAACAAGCTCGGAGCTTGTGAACAATGAGGAGACAAAGGCAAGAAAATAGCACCCACTTCCCTCCTCAAAAGCAGGGGAGGAAGCACTGCCTTTAGCATTTTCTGCTGTCTGCACTTCATGCTATTGGAGTTTTTTGTTACTTAGTATGCTGGGTTGACCCTGGCTGCTCTGTTATTCCCCTCATCAACTGGACAGGGGAGAGAAAACATAACAAAAGGCTCACAGGCTGAGAAAAGGACAGGGAAAGCTCACTCACCAATTATTGTCACAGGTAAAACAGACTTGATCTGGGGAAATTAATTTAATTATTACCTATCAAATCAGAGTAGGATAATGAGAAATAAGAACTCAATCTTAAAAACACCTTCCCCCACCTGTCTCTTCTTCTCAGGCTCAACTCCCTATTTCTCTACCTCCTCCCCTGCAGTGGCACAGGAGGACAGACAGAATGGGGTTTTCAGTCAGTCATCACAGGTTCTCTCTGCTGCTACTTCCTCCTCAGGAGAGGACTTCTCACACTCTTCCCCTGCTCCAGCATGGGTCCCCCAAGGGGCCACAGGTCCTGCCAGGAGCCAATTTCAGTGCTGGCTTCCCACAGTGTCACAGCCTCCTTCAGGCATCCCCCTGCTCTGGTGTGGAGTCCCCCATGGGCTGCAGGTAGAGACCTGCTTCATCAGGGACCTACCTCCATGGGCTGCAGGGGCACAGCTGCCTCAACATGGCCTGCACCATGGGGTGCAGGGGAATATCTGCTCTGGTGCCTGAAGCACCTTCTACCCTCCTTCTGCACTGACCTTGGGGTCTGCAGAGCTGCTTCTCTCACATATTCTCACTCTTCTCTGGCTGCAGTTGCTGTTGCACTGGGTTTTTCCACCTTCTTAACTATGTTATCCCAGAGGTGCTACTGCTGTCACTGATGGGTTTGACCTTCTCCAGCAGTGGGTCTGTCTTGGAGCTGGCTGCCTTTGGCTCTAACAGACAAGGGGGAAGCTTCTAGCAGGTCACAGAAGTCACCCCTGTAGCTCCCTCGCTACCAAAACCTGCCATGCAAACACAATACACTTAGTAACGTAAGTTCATGGTTAACCTATATTGGCAAAAAATGCTAGGCTTAGGATTGCTGCTTCAGACAGTGTGAATCAAATATTTGTATCATCTTTTGAGAATAAAAGCATGTAATGATAGGGAACCTTTTAGGGGGCAAACACAGAACAAAAAAGAGCTGCTGCATTTATTACTGCTGCAAAAGATAAAAGTAACTCATCAGCTCAGACCAAGCATTTTATATACACCTTGCATGGAAAGAAAAGGATTCAAGTATGATCAAATTAGGTTTATTACAAAGTAATGACATATTTCTGGTTGGAATAAAACTGGCTGGATATGAATATTCAGCAGTTTACTGTGCTGGCTCATGGTTTGCCTGAGAAAACTCAGTTCTCATGACAGCAAACATTTCACCTGGGATTATGGTAAACCACATTATTCCTGTTTTCCTGGCTTTACAAATGTCCAGCTATGTGTTCCAGTTATCCATGCATTAAGGAACAGAAAATTCCTAAGAGGACTAGGGTTTTCTTTGTTTGACTGGGAGGTGGTACTTGAAGAAATGCACAGCAGAGACACAAGTAAGAAAAAATGACATGTCTCTTGGGAAGCATGCATGTAACTGAACCTCTGCCCCAGTATTCTTTATAGAAAATCTGTTAAAATGTAATTTTATGGTTTTCAATTTATCCCCAGTACTACTGAATAGGACAGCCTTTGAACATCATTGTCTTTGAAGGGTACTAACTCAGCCTCCCTCCCACAAGGACTGATGTGGGACTGCCTGTACATAGCTGTTGTCCCAGTGAATAGCTGCGGGGTGGGAGAACATTGCACATGATTCACAGCTGCGCGGCATCAGCTCATGAAGCTGAAAGGCATTACACTGTGGTGATATAGGTTGCAGAAAAAGTGGTAAGCTCAGGACTACATCCAAACCCTCGGGATTAAGGGTCATACTTGAATCCTTTTCTTTTTATGCAATATGTATGTAAAGTACTTAGTCTGAGCTGATGAATTACTTTTATATTTTTTAAAGCACTAGTAGATAAATTTACTAGTAAATATATCCTTATCAGGGGATGTTGAAATGTTTCAGTACACTTTTTCCCCTCCCTACAGCTCTCATTGAGAAGTAGCCTGGACACCCAAACCTCCAATACCTGGGATCACGCTGCTGGCTGACGGGAGGGCAGATGTGCCAGCAATCTGTGCCATGCACCCACTGCTTAGGCAAAATGCAGTCACAGCAATCACTCAGGCTTCTGGTGTCCCTTCTTCCACTAAAAGCTTGAGTTATCTCTATTTCTTACTGAAATAACTATAGTGAGGCTCAACTTACATGAAAAAAAAAAATGTGTACGGGAATAAAGAACCCAGTCTTGACATTAAGTCAGTGAAATTGCTGCAGACTTAGTTCAATGTAAGTGGGAGCAGAAATGGGGTTGTAATAATCTGAAAACATCTTGAGGGTATCATTTTCCCCAGAACTCCTTTATCAGTGTCACTTGGTGTGTTATTTTATTCACCACACACTATAGTGCTGTTTCCTGACTGGACTGTGACACTTTCCAACATCTTTTCAGCATTACTGTCAAAATTGTCTAAACTAAAAGCCAAAACTTTAAAATAATCGATTTTGCCAGTTTCTTTTAGTCCTATCTTTGCCTCTGGAATCTCTCCAAAATCTATAAGAGACTGAAATTGGTCCAAATTGCCTTCTCTGAATTCAAAAAGACAGGAAGAAGAAAAGAAGAAAAGAAAAGAAAGAAAAGAAAAGAGAAAGAAAAAAAGAAAAAAAAAGAAAAGAAAAGAAAAGAGAAAAGAAAAGAAAAGAAAAGAAAAGAAAAGAAAAGAAAAGAAAAGAAAAGAAAAGAAAAGAAAAGAAAAGAAAAGAAAAGAAAAGAAAAGAAAAGAAAAGAAAAGAAAAGAAAAGAAAAGAAAAGAAAAGAAAAGAAAAGAAAAGAAAAGAAAAGAAAAGAAAAGAAAAGAAAAGAAAAGAAAAAAGAAAAAAGGAAAAGAAGCTTTGGGAAGAAAGCTTAGCAAGTCAATTAAAAAAAAGAAAGGTCTAAAGAAGCGGTTTCATGGTCTAGGGAAAAAATCATTAGCAAAGTCTTAGGAAGACATTGACTTTAAAGTCAGAATTGACACTAAAGACAATGAAGAGAATAAAAACAATGAAATAAGTTTCTTCCTCCTAATGAAAAAGAAAGGAGAGCTTTAGCACCTTCTGTTTTGAATGGCTTAAATATATATATATATAAATACACTACTTGTGCCCTGCTGGCATGAAAGTTTTTGCTTAATTGTGTTGCCAAGTCAATTGAAAAATGTCCCCTCCAATGCATGGGGAAGCAACATAATAAACTCTTGGTGTGACCCTTCTGCTGCAAAACCTGCAAAAAGATACACTTTTAATGTATGAAGGAACTTTATTTAGACTTGTCCAAATAAGCACTAATACTAAATACTCTATATTAACACCCAAGCCCAAAATACAATCAACTTTTTTCCCCATGTTTCTGCTAGTAAGTTAATCAAGCCCAGGGCAGGCCTGTGGCATTGAAGTCAACTGGAACAGTACAACCCATGTTCATAACATAAAATTACCTTACCCTTCAAAACCAAATTACTTTATCCAAACTGCCTATTGGAAGTGGCCCATAACCATACTAACTTCTGACGCATACCCAAGGCCTATGTTTAGAAGACTGATGACCAGTCTGGGTCAAAACCAGCAACCACTGGCAGTTGTACAGAAGACACTGGAGGTGCAGCATTTAGTACACACCCTGGAACTGATTGGTTTGCTACTATAGATGCAGCCTGCAGACACTGATCTTTCAGCAAGCACAAAAGGCTTGCCATATAGTCTTGGTGAGTTTATGACACAGCTCAGAAGCTCAGAAAAGGTTCTGAAAAGCAGAACCTTGAGTAAGACTTCCTTCACCGACAAGGGAATAAGGTAGCTGGGACTGGGATTTAGTATCATGTTGTATGGTGAATAGGGGCTGTCTGCGGGAAACCAGCTTGATGGGAAGCCACCTACAGCCAGCTAGTAAGAAACACCAAGGAGAGAGCTTTTCCTGAAACATGACCTTATGCTCACAAGGATATCCAAGAAAAAGCCTCTGTTTGCCTGGAACCCACAGCCATAGCCTTCTCTTAAAAGCTGGTGCTGAGTGCAGTTTTTCCTGAATCTTTTCTCTAAGTCATATCTGGAGATGCCTTCCTTCACCTGTATGATAGAATAATAGGTAGAACACTTATGGGGGAGAAAATTTCTTATGGCAATGGAAATGGAAGCAGATTTTGTCCCTGAGTGTTAATTCTCTACAATGCTCCTTGAGAGTTAAGCTTCACAATTTCTTTCATCCTAGAAGTGGTGAAATTAAAAACAGATTATGCAGCAGTCAGTTGTGCTTGGTGGTGATCTGTGCCACAGGGTATTAATATCCTCACTGGTTAGCTATAATTCACTGCATGTGGACAGAGGTCTAATGCCACCAAAAATCACAGGAGAGAGTGCCTGGCTCAAATCCTGAGACATAAAACTTCTCCTGTCCAAGACAAATATAGATGTGTGACAAGACTTGAAATTAGTAAAGGTGAAGGAGCACTTGGGATAGTGGAGACACTGAATAGCAAAGACAGTAAAGTCATATTTCAGATGTTCCTGATGGTCTTCTCATCTGTGGTGACCTGCCTAGTGGTTAGCACACTAACAGCTGCATGTCACTCATGACCCCTCTTTGCCTCTCCTTTCCCCTTCCCTACCCTCCTCCTCTGTCCCCTGATCTCTTCCATTACTCTGTTTTCCTCATGCTACCTGACCATGCTTCTCTCCCCATTCCGAGGCACACGATATTTTTGTGTCAGTTCTCCACAAAGATTCTCCTATGAGCTAATTCAATTCACAAATCCAACATGAAATTACCTGCTGCCTTGGCAGGCTTACTTTTCTGCTAAGCAATTTGAATCAGCCTGTGGAGGAGTCCAGTGGCAGCTTCGGATAATCAGCATGTCCTGAGGCTGCGAGGAGGTGACGGCTGCAGCATTTGGTGGGGGTGATCTGTCTTTGAAACTGCACCTGTAGGAAGCAAAGGCTTCCTTCCTTTCCTCAGACACTCTCCCACTTCCTCCCAGTCGCTAGAAGCCACCTAAATTGCAGACACAGGGAAGAGTCTGGAGGAGAGAAAAGTAATATTGTTCAAGTCTTGTTGCAGCTCTGCAAAAAAGGACTCAGGATTTCCTGAACCTGAAAGAGCAAGTATAAAGAGAAGCCTATTCTTGTCTCTGTAGTCCAACCTCCCTTTTCAGATTCAATGTCTTGTTTTCTTGGTGTGCATACCTTGCTTTAAAGGAATTAAACCTTAAAGTATTGCTCAGTGTGTAACTCTGAAGTAAGTGTCCCCTTCCCCCGGCTCTCCTTTATCATGTGTCTATGCTCCTGTCTCCTAACAGCTTCTTGGGGACTTTAATAATAGATCCTCTGATATTCAGCACTTAAACAACTGTCTGTAAATACTGCGCTGGTTTTGTTATGTTGGCTGCAACACAGAATTTATTCCACTGTGATCTACTGTAGTTATAAATGCTATGGAAGATTAAAAAAAAAACAAAACAAAAAACCAAACAACAAAACCAAACAGAACTTGCACTGCCATTGAAAATTATTGCCTTGATAAATCAACATCAGCAGTAGAACCTAAATAGTATTTTAATTATTGTTCACAGCTCTTAGGCCCTAATTCTGTATGTTCTAGGCATGTGAAGATGAGAACAATGCTACTAAGAGATACACAGACATATTTCAAAGCCAGGAAAACTAATCCAACATGCTAAATAAATATATATTTAAAAATGGTTGGATTACGTCTACAGAATAACAAAGCACATATAACATTTGTTATGAATGACCTATAACTATTCCATAATTGCAGGCAGTATTATGAAGAAATGCTGCTTTCTATTTAGTCATCTACTGCTTGTTTTCTTTGCTATTCTCTTTGTGAAACCGTCTGTATAAACTATGTAATGCATTTTGTCCTTGTGTTTCCCATGTAAGAGAAAAGCTATTTCCTTAGATTCCAAGGTCTCTCAGCCACAGTCTTGTTAGCATACACATTTTTAGCCATTTATCCAAAATGTATTAAAATAAGTTTCTCTTGCATCACATGCATAAATATTAATAGTTAACATATGCACAGTTTAGATTTGGCAAGTAAGCTGTAAGATATATTGGCATCTTTTAAATGTCATTTCTTTATTCTCCAGATCCTCAAGGCTTAGAAAGTGAAGGGAAATATCTATGTTTGTTGCTCTTTCCCTCAGAATGAAATGTCTAGCTAACATGGTGGGAGAGATGCACTCAGACACGGGAAGAGGATTTAACAGATGTAGTGGCATCTGCTTGCACTTTCAGAACCCTAAGTAAAAATGTTCTGAGGAACAATTTCCCGCATCTTTATCAGTAAGCACATACTTAGCTCCCCATTGGTAATGCTTTAAATGTCAACAATCTACTATCACTGGTTATCAGTGATAGAAGAGGAATGACCACAATACACCACCAAATTTCTCCAGCAGCCAGTCCAAAATGAACGAGTGATATCCTGCCTTTGCAAGCCAAGGTTGAGCCAAGGACATATGAAGCTCAGACAGCAGGAGGACTGAGCTCAGGAACCCAAACATTAATCTCGAGGTCGTTCACATGCCTGGTCCTCTGACCAGACACTTCCATGTCTGAGAAGATATTTTTTTAATGAGAGAGGTTTTTATGTTATAAATAACAAATGCTATCAATTATTAACATAGCTACTTCTCACATAAGGACAATTCTCTCCAGCAAATCTGTGGACTCAAGTATTTAGCAACTCTTGTTAAGGGGGAATGAAAAAATACCAAGTTGGCTTGGGGGTTAAAAAAACTATTTTAAAATTTATTTTTTTTTTCTTACTTTGGGAGTTGTTTCTACTTCCTTTTTTTGTCCTTCTTTCTCTCTCTCTCTCCGAAGACCTACTAATCTAATAAATTTGTAACCTTGGGATTTGCATGAAACACAAACAAAAGCCCTTTGTTTCTATTCTACATGTCTGTCAACAGCAAAAGCACTGCCAGAAGTATACTTCAAAGACTCTCTTGCAATAGCTTCTTTCAGAGCTTTTCGTTCCTAATCCAAGGACATTATCTAAATTAAGAAACTATGTTAGACAGAAGAGTTGTAGTGGTTAATGTAATGATGTGCCTTATGATGGCTTCAAGACTAAATAAAGTCCTACTTTAGGAAAGCTATTTGGGAACATTGTAGAGCTGTTCTTCATTATCTTCTATTATCTTTACCGAGTCCTCAGAGTGCTTCCAGAAACCCCCAGATATGTTCTGAAAGAGTAGTCTCCTTCTCCAGAAAGGGCTCAAATTCACCATTACACATTTCACAAGGCACTGTAATACAGTCACTATCACTGAAGCTTTACGCCAAGGTCTGCTGCAAGCATGAGACATTGCTCTTAACACACAGCTCACTTGCTATTGAGCTGCACATGTGGGAAGTCATTAGCCTGGAATTCAGACTAAAGCTATAACAAAAGCTTCTTCCTAGAGATTTCTGTGAGGCCCTAGCTTTGCCAAGGTAAACCTGAGTTGTATTTTGACAAGTATTTGACAAATATTCCTGAGTTTATTGATGCATAGATAGTCAGGTATACACAAACATGGAAGTAGTGCTCATGGAAGCAGAAAAAGGCTCTAAATGAGACTAAGGACAAAAATAACTCCTCAGGGTCAGGAAGCTTTCCTACTTCAGATGAAGTGTTTCAGGAGATCCACAGCAGAGGGCAATTTCTGCAGTCTCTGTGTGAGCATGGGAGCAGGGAAAAATAAATTAAAAAAAAAAAAAAAACAAAAAGCCACTGATAAACTCTGGGCTGGGTTGCAGAGATATTAAGAGTATTCACAAAGCAGCAGATGAGGCACTAAACTTGTGCAGCAGGGACCTTCCCTAGCCATGGCCTTGACCAAAGAAACCCTAAAGATGATTACAGGGAGCAAGCAGTGGGATCCCTTTTCCCAGGAAGACCAGTTCTCCAGGCACTTCTCCGTAAGAGTCAATAGGCAACACTGCCTCCTGCCAGCAGCTGTCTTCCACCATCTCACCAGCCATGCTCCTTCACTTAGCCTTGAGTCACAACCATCTGGAAATTAACTCTTGTTGGTCATCACACAATACATACTTCCAGAAATGTCAAAGATGGTGAACCAAGTCTTAACAGCAAGGATTCAATTATATTCTTGTTATGTCAGAGCAGTTGACCTGAGATTACGACTGGCACCTGACAGGATGACATGGACCTTGAAATGAGCTAAAGTGGTTTGGGTGTGAGCATTCTGCACTCTCCTTTGAAGTTTTTGAAATATTCTGTTCCTTTCTCATCTCTCCCACCATGATGTGCTACCCCATATATCATACAGGTGTGCTCGGTAGAAGATATTGATGCGCTGAGATTGGAGTAGGTTTGCATGAGTGGGTGGCACTGAATAGAGGGGTCACAGAGCATGCATGGTAAAAGAAAAAAAGGGCTGAGGAAAGTCTTTCTAAACACAGTGACACAGCTCATCTCTCAGGATACCCTGAATGCTAACTTATCTACTCATAAATGAACTGGTTTGTATAATCCCTTGGGCTACAGCATGGACATGAACAAGGGTTTATGGCCTGTAGCCCTCTCGTTTGGACATATCCCAGGAGTAATCTAGCAAAGGAGTCCAAGTGTGTCAGCATTTTATCTGCTTATGATCCTATGGTATTAAGTAAAAGGAAACAAAATTAATAGAGACAATATAGCAGCCTTCCAGTACCTGAAGGGGGACTACAAGGATGCTGGGGAGGGACTCTTCATTAGGGAGTGTAGTGGTAGAACAAAAGGTTAACAGGTTCAAACTTAAACCACAGGAAGTTCAGGTTAGATACAAGGAAGAAGTTCTTTACTGTGAGGGTGGTGAGGCACTGGAACAGATTGTAAATGCTCCATCCCTGGCAGTGTTCAAGGCCAAGTTGGACAGAGTCTTGGGTGACATGGTTTAATGTGTGGTGTCCCTGCCCACAGTGGGGAGGGGTGGAACTTGATGATCTTAAGGTCCCTTCCAACACTAACTGTTCTATGATTCTATGATACTACTACAACCACCACTTTTTACTCATCAGAGCAGTAAGGTAGAGGGTTGAAAAAATAAATTCATTAGTTCACGTGGCACCATGGGAAAATTCTAACAAAAAATACAATTTTCCAAAGCTCCCTAACTATAAAGAAGGTTAGTGGAGTGGGTAATTTTCATGAAACCTATCGGTCTTTCATCCTATCTTCTGACTCTGAGAAACTATAATAGTGGTTTCCTTCTCTCTGCTTATTCAGCTGCAGACTTGGGGAGAACATCTATCAGATCTTCTCCTTTTTGGAAGATGATTCAGCTAGTTGTCTGTACTGCTTCAAGAGTCAGCAGGGACAGAAGTATAGCGAGTTCCTCCTGTACTCCAGAATGCACACTGAACACTGAAACAGACTTCACTGTGGCTAAAACCAGCACAATAATTAAAAACCCAACACTTCCCACCACTAAAGTTTCAGTTATATATACATATATATATATATATATATATATATCCACTTGCTGTGAAATATAGCCCCTGAAAGTCATTTCAAAGCTTTAGAGTAACAGCTTAAAATGAGACTGGACTTGTCTTCAAATGCAATGAAAGTCAATATTCTTCTTCTAAAAAAGCACCAAGAAATGTGACTCAATTTGGTTTTGTTCTCTTGAAAAATCATCAGGTTTTGTCATAAGTCTTTATGAGTCTTTGGAAAGGCCTTGAACATTAGAGACAATGTAGAGAATCTCTGCCAGTTGTCCATAATGCAGTAACAGTAGCTGGCTGGATTCTCCTAACTGGTAAATTCACTATCACCTCTTTTTAAGTGCTGCATCTGAAAAATACTTCTTTCCTTAGCTTTTTGCTAAATAAATCTGTAGCTACTTCTTTTCCACCCCTGAAATAGAAGGTAGGCAGATGCAGCTTCATATGTTTATTCTATAGTTAAAAAATATGGTTCACAACATTGTGAAGGCTGCATATCAGTATCTCAGGATGTTTAATCATTGCCACCTAAAAATCTGAATCAAGGGACACTTCATGGAGAGTATTAAATTCTGCTTTAATTCAGGATTCTGCAAAGAACAAAGTAGCGGAGAATTAGGCCATTAGGTTATGTATGAGACAGTAACCTCAATTTTTCATATTGTCTATGACAGAGTGTTAAATACCTGAGTTGAAAAAAGATACAAGATTTAGTTCTGTTATTTGCTTTTCATGTCAGAACTAGAGCCTTTGGTTTCTGCTATATTTTGCTTTTAAAATCTAGGTCTCTTGGGAGACTGAAGATATATTTAGAACTGTTAAAACTTTTGACATAAATACAGTAGCAGAAATAAGTACTCGGTATTCTCAAAATAGGTTTGGCTATTTAAGTAAACTGCAGTGAAAATAGGTAGTTTGGGAATCATTGGAATATAACTTGTTCAGATGCTCATCTGGTATAAATAGCATAGGTGCTAAACCAGCTGCTTGTGTAGACATTTAGGCTTAAGTAAATCACACCTGAAGAAAAGAAGAAAAAAAAGAATGCTTGATAGAAGCTAGCTAGAGCTTAGAATTAAAGAATTCATTCTCAAGCTCTGAACCAGCTTTCTCCCTTTGCATCTCTCAACAGATCAATACATCTTTTTGACTTGCCTCATCTCTTCAGGCAGGAACATCATGGAAGACCTAAACTGCAGAAGTGACTTCCTGCCAGGAGACTTTGGAATTTGTGACATTGGGAAAAGTGAAAGATCCCACTTGGGTTTGGAGTTATGAAAGAATCAGGCTAGATTTAGAGTCAGGGTATATGTAAAATGCAACTAGTCATAGCCTCTCAGCTATAATCCTACTAAAGCAGACTGCTTACTCGTCATTCCTTCTGGTCATTTTAGAGGACAATCCCTCTATTATGCTGTTTTACACCATTACATTTCATATTTCTTTTTTTCTTAGCTTTCAGCCTAATGGACACCACGTATTATTGTAATATCATATGAGCACTCAGCAGATCAGACTGACCATATTGCTCTTCCCTTTGGAGAACACTGGTCCCCACAGTCTTCTTACCAGTGAAGCACCCAGAGGCACTTCCCACACTGCTGCCTGCCTGTATTTGCTAGAATGGATTTCTGACTGATATGCCAAGGGACCCACTGGCCCTCACAGAAACCAAGGAAGGGCCTGAGGAACTGAGGATGGTGTGTGAAGGAGACACTTTTCTTGGTCCAGCTGGCCTATTGCTGGGGTGCACAGCCAAATTTGGAAACAGGAAAGTGCTGACAGAAAGACAGATGTGGCCATGCCAGCCCTTAGACAGCCTTCTGAGATACCTGTTATTTAACCCTCATATTGAATATGTGATGGGCTAAAACTGATTAAAAAGCAAATAAAATGGCATGGGCAATTTAATGGGGAACAAAAATATAACAGGGACTTTCTTATTTTGTTTCTTCTGCAAGAACCTAAAAGCTCTGTTTCAGTTTGCTCCTCAATCACTTCAGTGCCAAGAAGCAGGCTTCAGCCTACCCTTTAAATGCTCTGATCTCCTAACCACCACCTGCATGAATGTGATAGTCCTGAAGAAATCTGCTTATCAAGTAGGGTGACGTGAGGAAACAGGAATTTTGGCAGAAAGGTGAGTATGCAGCCAGCACAGCAACATCAGTGGTTCCAGGAAAAATGATGACAGAAAGGTGCAGAGAAGAACTTGTTTCCATTACTGAAGTCAGTGTTGCTGGTAAAAGGACAGAATACGTACAGTATATGCAATGCATTATTTTCATCTTGGTACAATATGACAGATTAATACAGACAGCTACCAATAAATCACAGGTCCTAAAATGTGAAATTAATATGGCTTCTAGAATATAATATTAAGCTGGGTCAGTGGGGTACAATGCTATTTCAGTATTTGGAAGGGATAATTTTTAATTTTATTTTCTTTTTTAATGGGCTCCTGAAAAATATCAGAGTTGCTTAAAAACATCTAAACAATCACTTTTTACTAGATTTGTGAGAAGTAACAAGAAAAGATTTCTTCAGGACCCATTTTGTAAAAATGCTTTTGCTCAGCTTTGCTTCTGTTCTTTGACATGGGTCTGCTGTGCTGCAAGGACGGGTTGTGGTACATTGCACCTGTGATATATCCACACTAAGAACAGATGAGAAGGAACATTCATGACTTTGCAATAATGAGATTGCTGATCCAGTCTGCTGGTAATTCCTGCACAGTGGAAACAACGCTAAAGAGAATTACCAAGGATCTCATCTGCATGCTGAAAACTGCATGTCTCCTCAGACACATCCATCCTCGGGTTGCCCTTCTTATTTTTTAACCTTGCAATGGTATAGCTAATGAAGTGGTGAGTGATTTTGTACTCCGAGCAGTGAGCTGTCTACAGACCCCAGAATTCCATTTAGTTTTTGTATTCATTGGCAATTTATTCAGTGCCAAGACTCAGTCAGATAGGAAATTCAAACTGATAGGCACCAGTTATATGAGATGCTTGTCCCTGCTTACCTTAAATTGTTTTCTAATTGACACAAATAACTATGCAGACACTGCTTTATAACAGATTAGATGCCAAAGATTAGAACCAGTTTCTGTTGAAGCTAACCCACCACTGTGGAATTGAAATGGTGTTTATATAGTGCCTCACTACAGTATAAATTGGTTTTAAATTCTATTTAAAATATATTGGTGCATTTCCTTATGCAAATACAGCTTTATTTTAATAACATTTCACATGGTACACCTGACAGGCAAAAAAAACTAGCACTGGCAGGGTGTTTGCATAGATGGCCAGTGGCTCTTTTTTTGTTAGTTTGTTTGAGATATCAAGGGTTAATTAAGGAAACAGGAAGGAGAGTGAATCATGCAGGGACCAGAATGTTTTATCAGCTCTGACCTGTTCAGCCCCTAGACACAGAAGAAATAAGCAAATGAGTTATAGGTTATAGCAGTTCAGGACTCACTCTTCAGGAGTTGCTAGAGAACAGTGAGCACATCACTCATCTGCGTCCTGACATGCTCCTCATCTGGGGACTTCCTACCAACAGTTTCCCACTAGCAGGATACCAAGTTTCCCACTGCTTACTGAAAACAAAAACTTAGATAAGTTTTTCATACCAATTTCTGTAAATTGGACTGCTGCTACAAACAGAAACATTTAACCATAGCAATTTGTGAGCATACAGAGCTATTAAAACACCATTTACTGGTTGAGAAGGCCTGTTTGCTGCTTTACACAAGTTTACCTTCCACCCAACTTCAGTATTTAGCTCAGCAGTAGGTTAGAATAAAGCAAAGTAAAGCAGAAACCAGTAAGTCATAAGTACTGTGCTTCATATGGAGGTCTGTGGCTCTGGGAAATATACTGGGATGGAAGGTTACTTTTTTAATCTGTATTTTCTCATTATCATAACTGTCAGATTTTCTTTTTAAAAGATGTCTTTCTTCAGGCTTTACCAGATACAGGTACTATCACCCAGTCATCTCATCAAAAGCTAGCATAATTTGCACTGATCTTTTCTTTGCAAACAATGAACACTGGAAGACTGTATATACTGGGCACTCTAGCAGTCACCAAGAAAGAGTATTTTAACTACAAAAGCTAGCAACAGACATCTAAGTTCTTATAAAGGTGGATGTGTACCATTTTCTTTAGAGTTTTGAAAATGTTGAATATAAATAGAAAAGGCTAATTACATTACTCTCATTATACTATACCGAGCATTGCAGGCTTCTTCCAATCCACCTTCCTACTCCTAACAACTTTTTTAGAAGTAAGTTTTAAAAGAAAATATTTGAACATTGATGATTATGTGCTTTAAAAACTTCACATAGCCATTTTTTTAAAAGACAAGCATTAGAGCTATTGCATTATGTCATGCTGCTTTGCATAAAAACTGCATCTGTGTTTACAGGCTAAGCGCTGAAGGCAGAGTTTTCCTGGCTATCAGACTGCCAGGTGCACAACTGCACAGGGAACCAGTTTCAGACAACTACAGAAGAGATTCAGTGGGTGGGTACAGCAGCCCCAGGCAGAATATACTACTGAGGTATTATGTTTATACACATCGCATAGAGATGAAAGCACTGCACAGAGAAATTACGGGCATGTAAGAGAATATACTGGCCTACCACTGAAACTGAAATCACAGACATGTTTTACTATTGATGTGAGCACTCAGGAGTAGGGCAAGTTCCCATAGCTCACAGACAGTAATCACTATTGTACAGTATTAGAAGAAAACCATTCTGATCCCTAGCACTTTCCAGCAATAATTAAGAAAGAATATTCAGCAGTCTACCCTCTTGAAATTCAAAAGCAATTAGTAGATAGCACTATTACCAGTGCCTATTGCACAAACAAGAAAAGGAAAAAAATCTGAACCTCACAGTTAATTTTCTATTTAGCTCTCTTTATCTATTTGTTCTTTAATGGCTTTGATATTCTTCATAAAGTGATTTCATTAGCAATGTATCTGCATGATGAAACCTGTATTTCCTTCTCAGGAAATCAGCCCCCCAAATCTCTATTTACACTTATGCTTTCTAGAACTCTTGTAAGGTCTACAAACAGCTTGAGAAAACGACTTCTTCCATGTTAATGCTCTTTTGCGCTGTCAAGAAATTGTTAGTATTAATAAATATTGGCACAAGTCAATAGTGTTGTCTGTAACTTTCTCCTTGCATTTCTGTATGTGTGATTACACGTTTACTGCTGTGAATGCTGCATTAGCAGGAAGCACCTGAAAATGCTTACTTTTCACAAATAAAAAAGGGGGTAGGGGAATGAGGAGGAATATGGCTATAGGTTAAAGAAGAATGAGAACTGGGTTATACTTAATGGTATAATGGATAGCTATTCTATGAGGTGGTAATTTAATGAACAGATTTTGTGTGTATCTGTAAGTTAAATTAGTTTGGGGGGGGGAGTGTATGGTCTAGAGGGAGGTAGTTTAAAAGGCTCCTTCTGTTCCTTGATAATGACAAGGCCCATTGTTAGGTGGACAATTTATTTTGCTCTTTCAAATTTTTTGGGGGAGGTTTTCTTTCTTTGGTGTAGTTTTAATTTTTCTATTGTGGGGTGGGTTTGGGTTTTTTTTTTCTCAACTTTATTATTTCAGTTCTGCTCAAGTGAGCTGAGGTGGCTGTATGTACCCAAGTATGCATGGGGTTGCACAGTTTGGGTAAGTAGTGAACTAGCTGATGGAAAGCTTTCTAGCTGTATCTTTATGCTTCTAGATTACACAAGGAAAGAGAATGAAGGTCATCAGGTGACAATTTCTGTGGTATATGAGTAATCCACTCTTCTACAGCAACTGCTAGAAGGGGATAAAAAGGTAGTCCAGAGCCTTCACTGAAGCTTTTACTGGGGGAGTCGTCTGGATTTGAGAATGCCATACTGACCACTTCTTGAGGACAAAAATAAAAATTTTAACTTTTAGCTATAAAGGATTTCTGATTCACTGTTTACATAAGCATTCACTGAGCTTCCACAGTAAAAGCGATTTAGGAGAGATATGTAATAAATAGTAATAGTTCCTATTGCAATGCTGGCTGCAAAAGCTGAAGCTGAAAGCTATTCTTCTGTTTAAAGACCCTTATTGCTACTTTTTTCATGTCACTTACTAAATAAACACAATCTAAGGTACAACATAAATACTGTGTGAAAGAACAAGCTAGTGCTAGTATAATGATGCAGAGAAAGGGTGAAATAAAGCTAAAAGTGATCCACTAAGAGCACAAGCAATTACAGGAAGGTATAAAAATATCCCTATTATGTTGTAAAATCATATCTGTATGAAGCTACCCATTAAAACTGAATAGTCACCTTTCCAACTGATGCCTTGTTATACACTCTTTTCTGTCTCAGAACTGGCCTGGGACTCAAGTAGCTGATGCTCATGTGTGCTTACCGTGGGGAGTGACTGCTCCAGTTTCTTCCATATTATTAGTTTTTGTGTAGCATGGCTCCCAGGCTGTCTCAAAAAGCACGTCTGTTCTTGCATTTCTAAAAGTGAGACTAGGCTAGGAAATCACCCTTGTATACATACCTTTCAAAACTGATAATCTTTACTGACCTGTTAAATCTAATAGTGTCCTTACTGTAACAGCAAATTATTACGAATTCAGTGAATTAATTCTTATCTCTAAGACTACAGAATAATTCTGTATTCTTGTTTACACTTC